AAATAACAGCAATCTCGTCCCACTCCGAGGCCAGACACAGATTGAAGTAAAGCAGTCCTAGCGCTGTTGTCTTAACAAAATCAGAAGTCATATTCGGTAATTTTCGCTATCAAGACTTCAGCAGCCTATACGCGTTACCTAACGTCCACCCCGTATAATCTGCTGCGTCCATACTTTGTGAACCTACACGCAAATATAAACCAGCAAATGTACAATTGATTCTAAAAAATACATTCAACACAAAGGCGCTTTCAAGCCACACAAGTCATTTAGGATACTCTTTCATATTCGTTTGGTATTTTCATATTAATGTTCGTATGCTATAAAATAAGCTGTCTCGAGGACCACACGAGCTTGTATGGGATCATTGTTTATTCAATTTAATCATCAAACAAAACATATGCGTTGGCTGGGCCATTTTACTACTACTGATTGTCTGTAAATGATGTAACGCGTCTTGTGTAGACGTGGCATAATACAGGAAAACAAAGCTGTTTAGCTATACTCGGTCGCCGGCAGAGCTATTTACATATACAGGTTGGATGTCTACACGCTGGCAAACAAGGTACTATTAGTTTTCCTTTCTTTACTCCTACTCGACAAACGCATCTAAATATGAGGGACCAAATGGACAAAAAGTACGAACAAGCGGGTAGAAAGTACGAAGATGTGGACATAGATTCTCGCGGTGCCCCGATATTAACCTCCGGGTTGAAAAGCGCTCCGCCCAGGACCCCGCCTCGCCAGGCTGACATGAGGGGCAAAAAGTACGAACAAGCGGGTAGAAAGTACGAAGATGTGGACATAGATTCTCGCGGTGCCCCGATATTGACCTCCGGGTTGAAAAGCGCTCCGCCCAGGACCCCGCCTCGCCAGGCTGACATGAGGGGCAAAAAGTACGAACAAGCGGGTAGAAAGTACGAAGATGTGGACATAGATTCTCGCGGTGCCCCGATATTGACCTCCGGGTTGAAAAGCGCTCCGCCCAGGACCCCGCCTCGCCAGGCTGACATGATGAGGGGCAAAAAGTACGAACAAGCGGGCAGAAAGTACGAAGACGTAGACACAGAAGACGGTGGAAATGTTCCGACATTGACCTCCGGGATAAAGCGCGCCCCGCCCAAGAAACCGACCGGCGGGCCGGAGAAACGGGCTGTGCCGAAGAAAACCCCGACTCGTCATGTTGAGATGGAGGATCTGCCAGGACAGGAAGGAAAGCCAGATCAGCCAGACAAACAAGAGGATACTGACAGAGATGGGCAGCGTGAGGAGACTAGCTTCTGCTACAAGGCTCGAGGTACGATGATGCAATTTAATAACTTAATTCGACTAATCAGCAATTGTTGTAATATGTAGATGGGAAATTAAGCTGGTAACTGTTTAGGCAGACTTGATCAGTCATGGTGGTGGTTGTGTGGGTTCGAGTTTCGGACCACATACTTTGAATTACATCAGTCACATCTAGCTAGCTGCAAGATGCTTTAGTCAGTCATTATCACCATGATTCATGAAGGTGGGAGAAGGTCCACTGAAGGTACGAGAAGGTAGAAACGTTAGAAGGTAAATAATTACCTTAAATTCACTCCTGACTGTGTATGACTCTGCTGACTCTGTATTTCACAGCCTGCACGGTGAAACTATCCAGGGAGGCTTGTGATTATTTCGATGTTTCATATTTAATCTCAGGGCGTGTGAAGGAAATATGGAGTACGGTAACATCCGGCACAGCTTGTTGGCTCCTCCTGGGCGTGCTCCTGGTGGGAGCGGCAGTTAGTATCGCTGTAGGCCTGTCCCTTCATCTCTCCTTTAAGGTGAGCCAACGGATATGTAAAGTGTTTATTCATAAAATGGGAACCCTGGAATCTAGATATTGGCTTCATCACATGTGACATGTTTTATAACAAGTAACAAAATTTATTGCAACATCTTGCCCGCGGGTTAATTGCAAGAAACGAATCACATGTCTGTATATGACAACATCAGGCTATTCTAGTCTGAAAGATGGCTCTATCTTGCAACATGTTCTGTTTGACTTCTGTTTATGGGACAATTTTGTGGTGTTAAGAGGAGAGTATTTTTCTTTTTCTATCATGAAAGTTCATCTGTGTTGGTACGACTGGTAGACAGCTCTAGGTGACACATTTTATGTGTTGGATCAAAAGTTTAAACTTTAGGCCACACCAATTCAATTTGTTGTTTCTCGGATTCACCCTGTCCATTTTTTTCTGATTTGCAAAAAAAAAGGTTCTAAATCAACTGCAAAGTGCTCAATGAAAGATATATTTTGGCCCCAACGGTTGGAGAAAGTCCTTTTCTTCCTAGTTATTAAAGTTTTTCAATGTAACAATGCAATTTTGTTTCATTAAAAGTTCAAAATCTATTGGATGGCAAATAAGGATGGCTTAGTTAAAAAAAAAAACTTCCTTCCCTCGATATGTGCACCATCTGTAGCAGGCCACTGGTTCGCCGAATGAAGATGTCGTGGCAACCACGGAGAAAAACAACAATCTCAGCGCTCTTGGGTCGTCGACATTCTGCGAAGAAAAGATCTTGTTTGTCTTTGCTTCAACTTCAACCCCCTTACGTACAACAAAGCGACTCGGCATCGCATTGTCTATGGCATTCTACACGGAAAACGTCTCTGCAATCGTCACCTCGACTTCAAACGCCTTATCAACGACGCCACACCGATTCGACGCCACAGTTTATAAGGAAGTGGCCAAATCAACTACACTCGCCACACCACCGAAGTTTGAGGGATTCGTCACCACTGTTACCGCTGGGATCGTACCAAGAACTGTCGCACCTCTCAGTCCAGGAACAGGTTAGCAATGATCGCTTAATAACATTGCAGTACTAGTATATTTGGTATCTTCGCCAAAAGGTTATGTTTTCAGGAGCGTTTGTGTGTGGTTTAGCAAGATAACTCGAGAAGCAGTGGATGGATTGGGATCAAACTTAGTAGGAGGTTAGGTCTTGATGAGACCTAGAAACGATTAGATTTTGGACCCCCTGGCGGCTTTCCTAGGTACTGCAGCAGAACGTCCGGTTTTGATATCTCGTGATCTGGACATGCTAGAGTCACGCATTTTGGATGGTAGATAGCTATTGCGCTAAGGAAGAAGTGAGTTTGGGCCCCCTAGTAGCTTGATCTGGAACTGCAGGGCAGTTTGTTTAAAAATCTTCGAGGGAGGATAACTCAAGAACCGGTTGACGGATTGTCATGATTTTCAGTACGTAGGTAGCTTAAGTGATGCTTGACATAATTAGATGATAATTACACAGATCGGAAGCTTATTTGCGTAAGAATAAGAAATTTGTAAAAATCTGCTGTATTCCATAATAGGCATATGGAACACTTGTGACATGTAATTGGGAATATAGATTACGTAAATGAAGATCTCATTTG